CAAGGCACAATGATACATGCCTTACACTTGACAATTCTTGCTCTTGTTCACTTGCTTTTTGCCCTTATTGTCACAATCTCCATGTCTTTTCCAGAAAAAAAATCTGGTGCGTTTGTTTGTTTCTTGTCACCAAACTCTAGGACCTGATCTAGCGAGGGTGATGCCCTTTGAGGCTCCCTGAGCAAGATGGAGTTGGGCACAAATAAGTTTAGTTCATCATTAGAATTTTTTTTCCTGAAAAGCAGGTGAATTATTATGGTTTGTGTTACTGCAAAATTGTTTTGCTGCCAAGGCGAACTGCTTTGCCCTCTGTTTTTAAAGCAGCTGAATGTTAAGTCTGAGAAAGGAGTATGGCTCACTGAATGTTGGCTTATGCTCTAGCCTTTTCAACCCTTTCACAATATCACTCACCACATTTGCTGCTTCTGTGGTTTAATTCTCAAACTTGTGAAGACAAACAAAAAGAGTCATTGACACTTACAAGTCTCACATTCTGGATTTTATGATAGACAGCACAATCTGCATGATACAGACATTGTTTGAGGATGGCACCAAACAAGCAGACTGAAGCTTTATGTTAGGTGCTATAGCTCAGAACCTGCCAATAGCAGCAAGGGAGGTACTTATATTTTACTGTTGTCCTTGGGCTAACTTCTTGATAATGCAGTTATTTAGGCATCAAAGAGGAAGAACATCAACTTGGAAAAGACACATATTTGCATAAAATATGCTCATGGCAGACAGTGGAGACCTGGATTGTCCCACTGATAGTGTCACCTTTCAGTTTGGAGCAATTAATAGTAAAACTTCCTCACCGTCATAGCGGTTAGTGGAAGGAAATTTCTTGCTAGGTCTCTGTTAGCAAAAGGAAGTTTTTGAAAGAGCTATATTAGAACCTGGTGGAAGTTATGAGTGTAGTATAATTTGTGCTTCTCTTCCTTCATTCTACCTCCACCAACTTTCACTCCTTTCCTGATCCAGCCCCATTCTTTATTACTTTATATTTGACGTTCCTTTGAAATGGCCTCTGGGCAGGATTGTTGTAGGTTTTTCAGGCTATATGGGCATGTTCTAGAAGCATTCGTTCCTGAGGTTTCGCCTGCATCTTTGGCAAGCATCCTCAGAGGTTGTGAGCTCTGTTGGAACTAGGAAAATTGAGTTTATATATCTGTGCAATTTTCCTAGTTCCAACAGACCTCATAACCTCTGAGGATGCTTTCTCTAGCCTGAAAAACCTACAACAACCCAGTCATTCCAGCCTTTGGGCATTTTTAGTAACTATTGTATTAGGCAGTAGCTCTTACTCTTGTCTACCTTCCCCATTTCAGCACTAGTTTTATGGATGAGTACTGTGTTTGATTTCAATTTTGAGTTGCCTAGTGTGTTCCCTTCCCTTTTAAAAATATCTCATCTCTGTGTACACTATGCATTTTTAGATTGCCTATGTGGCATTAGTCTTCGAGCAAAACCAGCACACAATCATAGGCCCCATCTACACTGACCATTTAATGCAGCTTGACGCTAGCTTCAAATTGTTGACCAGACAGCAAACTTCCACAAAAGTGCACAAAAGAAATCCCTTAATGTGCTTCTGTGCTGTGTGGTTTGTGTCATCACCATCTGCCTCTCAAACTGGTTCCAGGATTTTTTATCTAATTATTTGCACAGTGAAACCACTTTCTTCAATACTGCGTTGAACTTCACCCACAGACACTATTATGCTGCAGAAAACTTTAAACATACTGAAGCAAATTTTCAAGTTGTCTAGAAAAACATCAGAACAAATCCTGAAATCACAAGCCTGCTCTCTGCTTACAATAGTCCCCTCTGATGAGGCAATTATATTGCCAAATTTTATACACATAGGCCAAAAGAAGAAGAAGCTGTGGCCATTTTTCTTTCTCAGTGAAAAATCAACAGGATAAATCAAGAATATAATTAGAACTATTTTTATCAGGAATGCCAAACAAACAAACAGAATCACTAAACTACAAAGTACTTCATAATAATTGCAGCATGAATGCTATATGCACAACATAGTAAAAAAATATTTTTTCTCCTGCTCTCTTAGAAACACTCCCATATACTACCACAGACAGTAAACTATCTAGATCAGGCCTGTACAACCTTCAGCCCTCCGGGTGTTTTGGACTTCAGCTCCCAGAATTCCTGGGCATTGAAACAATTAGCTCAAGCTTCTGGGAGTTGGAAGCCCAAACATCTAGAGGGCCATAGGTTGTGCAGGCCTGATCTAGAGCATGGTTCTCAACCACTCTTCTTCCTGATGTTTTGGACTTCTACTTCTGCAGGTCTTGACTGCTGGTCATATTGAGTGGGGCTTTAGAGAATTGGTCCAAAACTCTTGCTCTAGAAATCATTGAGTATAGATTATTTTGCCCTTTATGTTAATCCATCTGTTGTCCTTTAAATGAGATCTAGTTTGGAAGGACTGCCTCATTCTGAACCTATTAAAGTTAGCATAGAGATCTTTAGTGCTCCATTTGCTTTGCTGACTCAGTTAATGGTGCTACTGTGTCACGTACTACGATTAAGAGCCTGAAGGGCAGCTCCCTCAAAAGTGACTCATCTATAAAGACTCTAAAACAGGTTTTAAGGATGCAATCGATTTTCACTTTTTCATTTCTTTTGATTAATATCTTTGTGGGGTGAGAGCCTCCAGCAAAGGCACCTGTTGTTTGTTGCATACAATCTCTAATGAGCTGACCATGTCAACCCAGGGTGCAACACACACATTTCGTTATGGACAAACTTTAATTTATTATACTCCAGTGACAGAACCCCAAGGCTGAGAATCTAGAAAAATATGGCATTCAGCTCATGCTGCTTGCCAGGAGAAATCATCATCTTCCTAGAGTACTTATCTAATACATACTGTAGATACTGTAGGCTATATTTGGCAAACCACCTCTGAGTATTACTTGCCTAAAAATGTGAAATTAACATTCATTATTTGGGTTCAACAGATGTTTCCAGCAACAACAGATTGTGTTTTTTTTAGATGAAGTAGAGTGGTGATAACATTTTGATAAGGATATTTTAGTTTGTCAAAAGATGATACACATTCATGGAAAATGTGGATCAACATGTTTAGAAGTAATGCTTTTATTATGCTTTATTGTACATTGTAACATAGTATTATGTTATTATATTATTCCGTTTGACTCCTCACACTACATCATCACACTAGAAAATGAATCCACTTTATATTTGGTTTCTGCCTTCTGCAAAATTCTGGGGTTTGTAGTTTAGTGAGGCTGTTAAAGGCTCCTCGCTAAACTACAAACCCCAGAATTCTGCAGGAGGCAGCAACCAGATTTAAAATGGATTCATTCTTTAGTGTGATGAGGTCAATAGTAAATGTGTAAAATCAAGAAGAATGTGATGAAGTATTTCTATAAGTAATAATGAAAGGAAAAGTTGCTGTGTTTTCTGTTATTGGTGAATGTGCAATGGCTTACTTGCTTCAGCAGTGCGTGTTACATTACACAACAGCAAGGATGGGGAAATCTTTTTTTGGGTCCATGTTACTTCAGTTGAAACTTGTTGGCATCCATAATGAAGCAACTGGTGTGCCCAGAGCCAAAACCATATCTTCCCAATCATGGCTTCTCTATTTCTACAAACAACCTTTGTGCTTTCTGATAGTTCTGTATGGCATAATATGAGAATGAGCCAAGCTCCAAAGAAAGTGTCTGAAATATGAAATCTTTGCTTTAGTTCACCTGTCTTCCAAAAGAAGATAAGTTGCAGCTCCAGACCTTCTGCTGGTTTTTTTCCCCAAGTGACTGCTTTTCAGTTTTTGCCTAATCATTTACCACTGCACTTTGTTATTTATTTAAGAGGTTGGGTGTGGGGTTCCTTGAAGTCTAAAAAAGTAACCCACCCAAGTTTGTGTTGCATGTATCCAAATGAACATGGAAGGAAATCTATTGGTACATTGCTGATGTCCAGATAATACAAAATGAGACCTCTTCCTGGAATTGGCTTCTGTAATATATAGAGCAGCTTCTTCCAGATATTTGTATTTATTTTTCTCTCTCTCTCCTTTTCTCCCATTGTTACCATAGCATTATCTGTTGTTATTTTGCAAGCTGAAATGAGGTTCTCCTCAAAGTTTAGGGATCAAACACACCAGTTTAGATGAAATTTTAAGAGGAAATAAGATTACTTTCAGATATTTGTCTATACCTGGCATTTTAGTTATGACTTGAAGATGGGTCAGCATGAGGTAGAGTGAGAAAATGGTATTTTGTAAAGTGCCTTGCATGAGACAACTTAATTTCACATGATGAAGAGGGAAAGACATAATCAAAGATTAATAGCTAGCTCTGAAGCCTATTTCAGTATTTTTCTTAATTTTTTAACTTTTTTAAATCTTAAAGTTGTAGTGGGGAACATGAGGCCATCCAAATGTATTAAGACGTATTGCCACTATACTTGTCCATTGACTGTGCCAGTGAAGGTTGATGGAAGTTTCAGTGTAGCAGTTTCTGATGAGCCTTACATTCTGTAACCTGCATTAAGTCTTGTAAACCAAAGATGAGCAACAAAGGGAAGACACTAATCCCACCCACCCCAGACTTCTGATGCTTTGTACAAAACCAGAAGTGACCAATTGGTCATTGCAGTTTCAGGCCCTCAAAAATATGGTGGTCTAAATTAATATTAAATTGAATAAGTGCACTGCCTAGGGGCATCCAACTGTCCTTTCTTAGGTTGAATTCATATTTTCTTCAATGCTGAGACTCTGAGAAACGCTTGCCATCTGCATATTTCCCACTCCTGTTTGACTTCATTGCTTAAGTGGTGAGCTCTTTGTTGACAAATAATAATAGATCCATCACATTAAGATAACTATAATATGCCTGGACACTTCAGTATAGGACAGCCTATAAGTAAAAGTCATAAATATTCTTCTTATTGCAACTACACTGCTTTTTCAGTTGATGTTATTAATTTAATTTGTTTTCCCCCCTTAGTTCCTCCAGTAGTGGAGCCAGTTTTCCAGGATATCCGTCAAGCTGTGGGACGCAGTGTTACTCTTCGGTGTACCATGCTAAAGGGAAGCCCAATGAAAGTGGCCACTGCTGTCTGGCGATTTAATGGGACTCTGCTCACGGTACCTCCAGCAGAACAGCAGGACTACTCTGACTATAAGGTGGACAGTGTGAGCCGGGAGACCAGTGGCAGCTATGAATGTAGCATCTCCAATGATGTTGGTGTGGCAACTTGCCTCTTCCAGGTGTCTGGTAAGTCTTCCCAAAAGAACCCCTGTGAAAAGGTGGAGCTCTGCAATCCATCTAATTTTCCCCCAAGTTACTGCTAAAGAACCCCATAGGTGACTTAATTAAACAGGAAGAAAATGATTAGGGTTCCAATGTACCTTTTTCTGAAATCACTGGAGACAGCCTCTTCTATCTTGGGAATCATATTTTTAAAAACTGATACTTTGCCAGATAATGATTATTGTCTGTTCTGCTTTTATTTCTGAATTTGTTATAAAACTTGACTTTGCAGTCAATGCAAGTTGAATAAGCAACAATTAGTCTCCAAGGTGGCTCTGAATCTCTAGCATACACAAAAAATTAAGTCAATAAAAATAATAAGAAATGCAGTCTCAGAAGTAAACATCAATATTACCATTCTAAGTTAATAAAAATAAGCATTGAATCATTTCCATTTAATTATAGTAGAGAAGAATGGCTGAGGCTTGTAATTAGAGTGGGATGAAGTAGCTTGGAAAAAACTGGTATATGAGGAAAGAGGAATGTCACTGAGGTACATTGGATGCCTTCGCTTTTTTCCTGGTTATATAGCTGTGTGTCTCCAGGCAAATAACAAAAGAATGTAACATGGGGCCCATCTACATGAGCCACCAACCCTGAACTGGGCCGGAGTGTGGTCCTGGTTGTCTGGATGATGTCCAGGGACCTCCAACTGGGGCAAATCCAATTAATTTGATTTTATCCCACATTATCAAAAGTCAGTGAAACTCCAAAGAATTCCTAAAGAAACTCTGGTGCCTCATCTACATGGGCCACAAAATATGGGACAGATCTAGAGTGCTAATACTCCAGACTGGGCCCAGAGGTGACTGCACTATCCATCTCCATCCCATTGCAGCATCAAGATGGAGTCCTGACTATCCATTAGGATTGAACCTGGTTCCTCCTCACTTAGCACTGCAAGTTTCGTGTTCTCAGATCTGAGATGATTAATTTTACTATTGTCTTCATTTATTGTCATTATATGCCATCATTGGCAATGGCTTACAGAAGAGTTTCTCAAACTGTGCTCCTCCAGATGTTTTAGACTTCCACAATTCCTCACAGCTGGTAAGCTGGCTGGGATTTCTGGGAGCTGAAGTCCAAAATACCTAGATGAGCACAGTCTGAGAAACACTGGCTTGCAGTAACCCTATGAATTAAGGTTACTGCAAAGTTACTGCGATAGAACATTAACAGCCTCTTGGCTTCCGTCTATCCACCTGTAATGTGGTCTTCCTCTTTTCCTTTTATTTTCAGGTTTTCTGAGCATTGTTGTTTTCCAATAAGTCATGTCATCTCATATGTCCAAAGTATTAGAGCCTCAGTTTAATCACTTTACCTTCTAGTGGGAACCTTTCAACCCATTTATTTGTCATTCTGGCAGTCTGTAGTATCCATATAACTCCCCTCTAGCATCATATTACAGATTCAGTTCATTTTTTGGTTGGTCTTCTTCATTGCCCAGGTAACAAGGCAACACATAGAAATCAGGAATACTGTGTCATTGATTAGTCTGTCTTTGATATCTAACTATAAATATTTACACTTAAGAATTTTATCTAGATTCTATTGCAATTGCCTTTCAAAGTTTTTGTCTTCTGATTTCCTGATTCCAGTCTCCATTTGATTTATGACTGAGCCATAGTATTTGCACTTTTCAATAATTTTTATAGTCTTTTCACCCATTTTAACTTACATAAATATGTAACTATCATTTTTGTTTTCTTAATATTTAACTATAACTCTGTCATTGCATTTATTTGTTAACTTTTATCTCTAGTCATTTCAAGTTTTTCCTATTTCCTGCTAATAATAGTGTCATCCATATGTCTTAAAATATTGGTGGTTTTTCCTCCACTTTGTGCACTTCCTTCCTCTTAATCAATAGGCCACAGAATACCAGTGGACCACAAGGAAGAAAGTCTGGTCCACAAACCTCCTTCCTCTTTATTGTATTGTATTGTATTGTATTGTATTGTATTGTATTGTATTGTATTGTATTGTATGTCTGCTCCTTTTGCACCATCTACCACTCCTTCCCTGTCGCTGACTAGCCCTGCCCCCTTGAATAGACCACATCCGCTCTAGATTGTTAAATATGGTTTTCTGTGGGCAAGCAGATGGTGACTACTGGATGGCATATGTTCTGTATCTGAAACTAGAGCTGATGTAATCTATTCAATGCATCAGCACCCCAAATAACCAAACCAAATCTAAAGTTGACCAAAAACCGATTTGTAATCTTTTGGTACTAATGTTGGAGAGTGGTCCCTGGTCAAATAAGAGGTTGGGAACCACTGCTCCTAGTCTACCAGTAATCCCACTTTCCATAAGATATGTTCTGTGTGATAAAGTGATAGCAGATAGCATTCAGACTTGTCTAATCATATTGCCAGTTGACTACCACTTTGCTTGCCCATATTCTGCCCTGACCATCGTGCCTTATTTTGAATTTAAGCATCAAGATAATCAGCTGTTGTGGAATTCTTTTTTTCTTCATGATCTACACAGGTTTTTGAATAAACCATAAAGGATAGGTAAATTCTTTTTGGAAATTATGATGCACTGTCATTAGTCAGTCTGTTAGCAATGTGGTCTCTAGTACCTCTTCCTTTTTGAATCCGGCTTGTACATTTATCATTTCACATATGATGAAGTCTTTGTTGTAAATTCTTGAACTCCACTTCACTTGCATGACAGTTTAATGGTTTCATGGCTTCTACAATCCCTGGTGTCTCCTTTCTTGACAATTGGAATGTATATTGAGCATTTCTAATATATAGACCATTATTTTGTTTTCCATTTTTGTTGAATGGGTTCTGTCTCCATAGCCTGAAATAGTTCTATTGACATGCCATCTATTCCTGCTGATTTATTTCTTCCAAGTGCTTTGAGAGCAGCTTTCTCTTACTTTATAAAACTATATTCTTTGTGAAAAGGCTCTACATTCCTCAGTCAAAAAGATCCCTTCATTACTGGAAGTTATTGCTTGGAACAAGAACTGTGCAGTTAATTTTGTTTCTGTTGTTTGTACTAGAAGATATTAAGCAATTTTAGCATAACCAAGTATGAACTCCGCATCAAATCAGAATTGCTAAATTCAAACCATCCAGAGCATATTTATTCAGATTGTCATTAGAACCATTAAAATTCTACAGGATCTAAGGCTACTTAAACTCACAATTCTTGCAAATGATTTCATGTGTTATTTGTTTGTTTTCCCCATGTCTTTTTCTTTCTGCTGGAGCACAGTGCCTTTTCTTCTTTCTACTCAGGTTCTTCCCTTGCTTTTGTGGACACTTCCTGCTACTTTTAAAGATATTTTGTAAAATTGAAAATTCACTCCTGCCCTCAGTTCATAGCAAGTCCTGGCATTCATAATCTAGTCAGATGTATTAGACTCTGGTATCTATCATCCTAGTCAGCATGATGGCTGTGATGTAGGAGAATGGAAGGGATTGTAGTTCAACATAGCTAGAAAGCACTGGGTTGTGGGAAATTGCCATATAGTGGTTTATTACTAACTCTATATACACTTGGATAAGTCTACACATTTTAGTACAAAAAATCAAACCAAAACAAACTGGTATGCTTTAGCCACAAGTCAGTGTCAATACTGTGCCTTAAATCTTCTTTTAAAACAGAACAACCCCTTTCTCTGAGTCAAGTGGCATAATGTCCTGGGAGGACCTTAAAAAGCACTGACTTCCTCTACAATCTCCGCTAGCGGCCCATTCTTCTGTATTTAGGAAAACAGCATCAGCCAGGGACAACTGGCCCTCTGAGGGAGCATTGATGTGTTCCCTTCTCTATGAAACAACCCTTGAGTTATTCACGGATCATATCAAAATCTAACCCTAAGCCTACCCTCAATTTATACATGAGGTCGACTTATACATGTTTATATGTTCTCATTCCAGAATTTTCTTGGGATCCCCAAGAAAAGCGGCTTAACAATATTCAGAAGTATTCTGACACATGCTGCTCAACCACTCCCACCTATCTCCTCTGGAAAGCAGGAGTGGCTCAGTAAACTACAACACTTCCACTTGTACTTGGTTGTGATATATAGACTAGGGATTCTAGCTTATAACTTTGATTTGTCTGGAAACACACAAGTAAGATTTCTCTGCCCAATAAAACTGTAGGTGGAAGCTCTGCAGTTTATTTAGTTGTTCCTGCTTACAAGAGAAGTCAATCAGGAGCATACACCAGCACCACTCCCTTGTTCTCAGCGGCACCGGCTGTAAAGAATTTGTGATTCATGATGTACAAACATAGCTGTTATCTTCCAGTCTAAATATTTTGTCATGTTTAGTTGCTGTCTTCACAGACATGTTTGTCTCCCTATATATAGACAAATGCACACATTTAAAGACAGTATTGGGGCAGTGTGTTCTATCTCTCATATGGTGAAAGGAGGATGCTACTTGATTTTTAAATAATGGAATTGAACATCATGTATACAAAGACGTATTTGGTTATTTTTATAAGTATACTTTTAACCTTAACATAAAAAGAGCCATGCATTTAGATACTTGCTATTACAGAAAACACTGGTGGCAATCTTTTTTGGAAGGTATGCCATAAATCGGGTCCACACTATAAGTGTCCCTGAAGTGCACACAGTTGTGTAAATGCAGATGGATATATAGCAAGGCAATTATGCCACTAATTTATTGAGCTGAAGAACAGGCAACAACGTAAATCTGGACATGGAGTCAAGAATATAGATTTGGCTTACAGGTCCTTCAGTCTAGGAACACTGAAAATCCATGGTACTTGTGCAATTTATGGCCACAAGTCCATAACGTTTGGAACTTAAATTAGTTACTGTGTATTGTGACCCTAATACCAATAGCTGATCCATTCCTTATGTAAATGATAGGTCCCACAGTATTCCAAAGAACATTTTGGAAATGGAGATCAGTATATTTGAAGATGAGATGATGATGATGGTGGTTATTATTATTATTATTATTATTATTATTATTATTATTATTTTCTATTCCACATTTCCCCCAATTTAAAATAATATAAGTCAAAAGCATACATTTGAACAGTAAACATTATAAAAGTATTACATTTTTCACACTATTAAAACAATTCAAACTTCACATTAAAAGAACAAAATACATTTTAACAAGATAAAAATCTATTTTAAAAAGTTTCATTAAAACAATACAGTGCCCTCAGCTCATTCTTTAAACATATTATTCTTTAGAAGTTTTTAGTGATAAAATGTATTAGCCTTCTGGTGGAAGGACATCCAGGATGGAAACATTTTGATCTCTCTGGGAAAGGATTTCCAGAATCTAGAGGCAGCCACTGAAAAGGCCTCCTCTCCTGTGATGGTGGCAAGACTGAGAGAAGGGCCTCTCCCGATGATCTACTATCATCAGAGTTATATAACTATACACCTTTCTCCCACTGCCTTCCTTCCACACAAAGTCCTTCCCACAGGCCCGTAGCCAGGATTTCGATTCGGGGGAGGGGGGCTGAGTTTGTTTTGGGTGGGGGCTGAGTGAAAGAGGGTCTACCCTAGCAAACCTTTTGTATCGTTACCCCAATACCCCCCATGCATATGGGATATATTGAGTATGGTGGTCAGATCATGATATGAATAAACATAACAGTTTAAATAATACACCAGTAAAGGCCTTTTTGTGAACCACCATGAGAATTTCAGGAGCCCCTCAAGCCCCCCCCCCCACCCCCCCGGCTACATGCCTGCCTTCCCAAGACATGGAAACTAGGATGTTCAGCAGAAGACGGAGTAACCTGGCACCCTCCCTCCCTTTTTTATTTCTTAACAGGCCTTTCTGTTTCTTTGTATTTCTTTGTGGGAATTGGTGTACTTGAAGAACATTCAATCACTATTTCTCACAACATCACCATCATAAAATATTCCATCAGTTCATGCCAAAAGCTGCAGACAAATATTCCCAATATAACACCTGTGAACATAGACACTGAGGAGATTATTGAACTTCTAGCTCTCCAAGAGTGCCTCCATTGCATGTTTATCGAGACACATCACTCATCAAATGATGCAGTTGTGGGGAAACATTCAATGGAGCAGCTTGGAATGGTCAGGTTTTTTTTTACTACAAATTCTCAATTTCTCCAACATGACACTACAAATTCCTGTCACATAAGTTTTTTAAATGGTTAAGTGGTACTTCCCATTTTGTTGTCCCTATTTTAAATTCAGTCAACCTCTGAATTTTACTTATGCATTGAGGAAAGTATATGGCTGTTGCAATTGTCTTCCATTCACCAACAAGAAGTACTACATTTGTGTTCCTCTTCATCTGCCCCTTCCTCTTCCTATCCGGCTGCTAATTTTCCCAGCTGAATCCAGATTCTTTGATGCTGGTTTCCTAATTGCTAGATAAAGTGCACAGGTTAGAAATTAAGGTGATAACCTAAAATCAATAAAATGCTCTAAGAGAGGTAAGTATCTCTTGACTAGGTATTGCCATATATACCTTGTCTTAGTCACCATTACTGCTTCTTCTGTTGATCTGGACTTGAACCTAACAAGAGCTTCGGTTCTGGTACTGAGAGTTTGGTGCTTTTTTATTAGGCTGTCAGTGGAAATTTGAAAGCAATAACATGGTTTACAGTTTACAGAAGTGGGAATGAGGAGATTTGTCAGAGCTTGGAGAAGTGACTTTTTTGAACTCCCTGAAGGATGGGATATTCTGTGAGTTGGTAGCCCAGAAAGTCACAATTCTAAGCTCTGTACTCTGTATGAACTTCATACATCAACATATGGGATGTTATGAATATTTGCTTGCTTCTGGGAATGGATTCTTGTCCTCAGCACCTCAATTAGTAACAAGTGTCCTTTACATCTTCTTCTCCCTTTTTTCCCTCACCCTGCATCCCTACTTTCTACTTCTTAGGCAAAGCATACAACCCAGAATTTTATTATGATACCCCTAATCCAACTAGGAAGCAATCCAAGAACTACTCTTATGTCTTGCAGTGGACACAGAAGGAGCCTGATGCTGTTGATCCCATTCTTAGTTACCGGCTAGATGTTCGTCAGGTAAGACCGATACTGTGCTCAGCCTCTTAAGCACCAATACCAGCCTTTGGACTATGAGCCTGCAATGCTAAAAAATAAATGCTTATATTCGATTTAAACTGAGATCAATTTAAACTGAGATTTAAACCTCTCCTAGGAGGATAGGAGTTGCTATTTGAGGGAAAAAAGCTCGAACTGAGGTCATGGCCCTTCCTTTCCCATCTAACCAAGTTAAGAAACAAGTTATATGATGTAATCCTCATTTTAAAATCTGATGTAAATGATTGAGAGCAAAGAAAACCTGCTGGCCTCCCCTTGGAATTCACACGTTCTGTCTTTTAACAGGAACAAAAGCTTGTAATCATTAGTAGGTATTGTCAGTCTTATAAACCAACCATTCAAATGAGTAGATTTTCAGATTCTTCACTTTCAACAAATAAGGAACATAAACTGGAGAGCTCTTCTGCCTGGTATTGAGGGGGACAGTCATAGGCTGTTAGTGTTTCAGAAATATAAACTAGTGAGAATAATTTGGATGGAACTGGGCTTCCTTGACTTGTGTGCTGGGCCTTGAGCATTATTTTGTAAACTAGATTTTGTATGGGCAGCAAAAGGTAGCCTGAACATCTCTCCTGGCTAGAAAACAGATGGAAAATAACAAGTGATCAGGAACTTGAGTCTTTCTCATTGTGTTAAAGAATTAGGTGTTACCAGTCTACCTTACTGACTTTCTTTACATCAGGGTAGTTATCAAGAGGCAAAAACACCCAAACTGCAATGAATATAAAGACTTGGGATTATTTCCAATGCTGTATCCTTTCAAAGGGTATGCTAACAACACATGTCAATATATCCTTTGAGGAAATAAAGTACACACAAGATTGCATTTAATTTGAAGTGTTCATTTAAAACCAAGAGTAGATGAAAGATGATGGGAATGAGATGAAATGTGTCACAGATACACAGAGATATAGCAAACAGACAGTGTTTAGCAACCAACATGTACAGCCAGTAGGTGGAAACCATGGTTGATATTTCAGATCAGGAAGCTGCTGAGCATATGATTGCTTTTTTAAAAAAAATAACTTCACCTCCAATGAAAACAACAACACCACTCAACAGTGATTGGTTTGTTGCCTTGTTTCCACTCTTCTTGTCTCCTTGTTGTTTTTCCTAGTTTGATGATTGCAAGCTGATCTCCAAATAATGATACCAGTTTGAAAAATCTTCTGATAACTTCTTTTTCAGTTCTCATAGTACATAAGAAGCCTCATGTTTCCAATGTTTACCTACTCTCCAGTTTATGATTTATTTTCTTCTGTTACTTGCCTTGCTATCTCCAAATTTCCTCTTTTTCTTGGATCAGAAATGGGCCATTGTGGAGTGGGCAAAGTTTGCTTTTCATCCTCACGGTTCGCAGAAAGCTCTACAGATCCACATAACACAGTAAAAAGTGATAGGTAGGGTTTAGATCTTAAGATACAAAGGATTAGGGGGTTAAAATAATTACATAATGCCTATGGGAGCAACAATCACCCTTTTAAAGAATAGAGGTGTTGTGGTCACTTCCAGGACTTCAGTTGTAGATTCAGATTCCAGAGGGCCACACTGCAGTTTGCCCACCCCTGACTGAAGCATTTATATTTGGACTCCATCAGAAATATCAACATTAAAAAGTTTATAGCAGGTATTATTTTTCAACATGCATGTGTGGAATATATGACAATGTAATCTTATGAAGAGGAGTGTTGTCCTCTCTATAGAATACTAGTTTAATTAAATCCAATTAAAATAAATTAAAATGGATAGATTAGGAGTCTTATATTACTTCCTGTCAAAAATTGGATAGGAGGTAGTATGGAAAATTTTAGGAGAAGAAGAGAGCTTGCCAAAACTTCCCGCCTTCCTGTCTGTATTTAAGGAAGCCTCCAGTGGATCTCAGAGTATTCTGTGACTAGAATAACTGCTGAAGAAAATTATTCACTGGCAAAAAAAAAAAAGCCTCATGTCATGCTGTTGAAAATAGAATGTGTGGCTACATGCCATATACTTCCTGAACTAATTTTATTTCCTCTGGGAGGGATTTCTGGGTCTTTTTTACACTATACAGTTGTAGCACCATGATTTCTCTGTAAATACCACAGCAACGTGATATGGATTCCCGGTGTTTGCAATTTTGGGAGGAATAGTGAAAATGCTTAGCCTAAGCAAACTAAAAATCTCAGCAATCCATATAATGCAGCCATGGCAGTTAAAGTGACATCATAGTGCTATCAACTTTTAAGCTTTTGAATTGTATTACATTGTTTTATTGGTGTGTTGAATTTGTTTAATACTCTACATAGTTTAATTCTGTTTAATTGTTTTTTTAATACTGTGAGAAGTTTTGAGTCCCAATTTTGGAGGGAAAGTGGGATCTAAATATGTAAATGGTGATGATGGTGATGATGCATGAAAGGGCTTGTAAATAATTATTATGCCTTTGGCTTTGCTGGACAGAAATATTATATGCATAAAAAGCCCTTGTATGCTGAGTTAATGCTACAATTGTTTTCCAGCTTTGGAGCATATGCTAGGAAGTTTAGCTTCAAGTTAGCATGCTAGTTTGTTCTGATTGGCAATTTGATGTGGAATACTAAATTGGAAGTTGATAGTGTGAAGGTGACTCCAGCAAATAGTGTGACTCCAGCAAATAGTGTGACTCCAGCAAATAGTGTGACTCCAGCAAATAGTGTGACTCCAGCAAATAGTGCTCCAGCAAAGGATCACCGCCTTGTCGGGGCGCTGGAGCTTGAGCACCTCAATGATGTCATGAGCGAAACCGTGAAGGGCCACCCAAGACGGGACGGTTGTGGCAGAGAGGTCGAGACCAAGCGTGATCCCTGGGGAAGGCAATGGCAAACCACTCCAGTATCCTTGCCAAGAAAACTAAATGGACCAGTACAACCAGAGATATGTCGGTATGCCATTGGAAGATGGGACTCCCAGGTCGGAAGATGGCCAAAATGCTACTGGGGAGGATTAGAGGATAAGTTCAACTAGCCCCAGATGTGATGACGCAGCTAGCTCAAAGCCGAAAGGAAGGCTAGCGGCCGACGGTACTGGAGGCGAACGACGAATCCGATGCTCTAAAGATCAACACACCATAGGAACCTGGAATGTAAGATCTATGAGCCAGGGCAAATTGGATGTTGTTATTGGTGAGATGTCAAGACTAAAGATAGACATTCTGGGGGTCAGCGAACTGAAATGGACTGGAATGGGCCACTTCACATCAGATGACAACCAGATCTACTACTGCGGACAAGAGGAACATCGAAGAAATGGAGTAGCCTTCATAATTAATAAGAAATTCGCTAAAGCGGTGCTTGGATACAACCCAAAAAATGACAGAATGATCTCAATTCGAGTGCAAGGAAAGCCTTTCAACATTACAATGATCCAAATATATGCCCCAACCACAGCTGCTGAAGAAGCAGAAGTAGATCAGTTCTATGAGGATCTGCAGGACCTACTGGATAATACACCAAAAAGAGACATTATTTTCATTACAGGAGACTGGAATGCCAAGGTGGGAAGTCAAATGACAACATGGATCACAGGCAAGCATGGTCTGGGAGAACAAAATGAAGCGGGACGCAGGCTGATAGAATTTTGCCAGGAAAACTCGCTGTGTATAACGAATACTCTCTTCCAACAACCTAAAAGACGGCTTTACACATGGACCTCACCAGATGGTCAACACCGAAATCAGATTGACTACATCCTTTGCAGCCAAAGGTGGCGGACATCCATCCAGTCGGTGAAAACAAGACCTGGGGCTGACTGTAGCTCAGATCACGAACTTCTTATTGCTCAATTTAGAATAAAACTAAAGAGATCAGGGAAAATACACAGACCAGTTAGATATGATCTCACTAATATTCCTAGCGAATATACAGTGGAAGTGAAGAACAGATTTGAAGGACTAGATTTAGTAAACAGAGTCCCAGAAGAACTATGGACAGAAGTCCGCGACATTGTTCAGGAGGCGGCAACAAAGTACGTCCCAAGAAAAAGAAAACCAAGAAGGCAAAATGGTTGTCTGCTGAGACACTGGAAGTAGCCCAAGAAAGGAGGAAAGCAAAAGGAAACAGGGATAAGGGGAGATATGCCCAGTTAAATGCGCAATTCCAGAGGTTAGCCAGAAGAGATAAGGAACTATTTTTAAATAAGCAATGCATGGAAGTGGAAGAAGACAACAGAATAGGAAGGACAAGAGACCTCTTCCAGAAAATTAGAAACATTGGAGGTAAATTTCCGGCAAAAATTGGTATGATAAGAAACAAAGATGGCAGGGACCTAACAGAAGCTGAAGAGATCAAGAGAAGGTGGCGAGACTATACAGAAGATCTGTATAGGAAGGATAATAATATTGAGGATATTTTGACGGTGTGGTGAATGAATTAGAACCAGACATCCTGAGGAGTGAGGTTGAATGGGCCTTAAGAAGCATTGCTAACAACAAGGCAGCAGGAGACGACGGGATCCCAGCTGAACTGTTTAAAATCTTAAAAGATGATGCTGTCAAGGTGATGCTTGCCATTTGCCAGCAAATATGGAAAACACAAGAATGGCCATCAGACTGGAAAAAATCAACTTATATCCCCATACCAAAAAAGGGAAATGCGAAAGACTGCTCAAACTTCCGTACAGTGGCCCTTATTTCTCATGCAGTAAGGTAATGCTCAGATCCTGCAAGGAAGACTCCAGAAATACATGGAGCGAGAGTTGCCAGATGTTCAAGCTGGGTTTAGAAAAGGCAGAGGAACGAGAGACCAGATTGCCAATATCCGCTGGATAATGGAGAAAGGCAGGGAGTTTCAGAAAAACATCTACTTCTGCTTCATTGACTATTCTAAAGCCTTTGACTGTGTGGATCATAATAAATTGTGGCAAGTTCTGAGTGGGATGGGCATCCCAAGCCACCTTGTCTCTCTCCTGAGGAATCTGTACAAGGACCAAGTAGCAACAGTCAGAAC